CTCTCTCTCTCTCTCTCTCTCTCTCTCTCTCTCTCTCTCTCTCTCTCTCTCTCTCTCGTCTACACCTTTTCTGAGACCACTGGGCTCCATTACACTTCAACTGGAGTTTTCTGCTTTTGTTTTGATGCTCCAGGTGCCTCTTGTCTTGGCAACATCCTGCCTGCTTTTCAAGGTTCAATTTGGTGTATTTGTGTGTGTGTGTGTGTGTGTGTGTGTGTGTGTGTGTTCCTCCTTTTTCTTTGTGCATCTCTCCAAGTTTGCAAGCCAAGCGCGCTCCTACCCTGCTTGCAATGGGGGAGGGGGGAAGGGGACAAGCTATATTTCTCCTTAAGCACTGTGTCTCCAAGGGTATCCCTCTCTCATTTGCACCTTTTCCAAGACTGCTGGACGCTTGCACAGTGCTGAGTTGGTTTGCTCTCTCTCTCTCTCTCTCTCTCTCTCTCTCTCTCTCTCTCTCTCTCTCTCTCTCTCTCTGTGTGTGTGTGTGTGTGTGTGTGTGTGTTTTTTCTCAGCACTTCCTCAGCATAGTGGGTCTTTGGTTTGTTTTGCTGGAAGGCTGAGTTTAGGATTGTCTCTTTTCCTTCCTACTTTCTTAGAAGCAGAAATTCACTGGTCTAATCTAATTCAATAATAGGAATAAAGTACATTATTTATTTGTTTGTTTAGAAAATTTACAATAAATGTAATGCACTTGAATCATCCTGAAATCTCCCCCCCCCCCCTCCACAGAAAAATTGTCTTTCATGAAACCGGTCCCTGGTGCTAAAAAGGTTGGGGGCCTCTGTTCTAAAGTCTACTATTCTGCTTGTTGCAATTCTCTGACGCATCCGACCCACGGGCCAGCAGTTTGACATGCCTGCTCTAGGCAAACAAATTTAAAAACACTCACACGCCGCCCTGAGTCCGGTGAGGAGAAGGGCGGGATACAAATTAAATTATAAATAAAAAATTAAATTATAAACTTGAGCAACCAGGATTCTTCAGTTGCTGCTAACTCAGCCTGTGGGATGTAAGCAGAAGAATTGAATTCACTGCATGTGGAGGTCAGCTTTGACCTGAAACATCCAGACACCTTGACAAGAAGCAGCCATCTGAAAATGTCCCTACTGGTTTTAATATTTATGTCATATTCAAATTATCTCCATCATCCTTAACTATTGACCACGCTGGTTGAAGCTGATGGAATTTGGAGGCCATGGTTATATGAAATGCTACAGGCTTCCCAGTTCTGCTTCAATCAACTTGTCAACAGCTTCTGTAATGCTTCTAGGCACGTCACTTCATAAAAATTGTATATATAGATATATAAAAATACAGAGAGAGAGAGAGAGAGAGACAGAGACAGAGACAGAGACAGAGACAGAGACAGAGAGAGATTCATAGGAGAGAGGAAGACAGAGAGAACATGGTATCATCAGCATTCAGCAACTAAATGATAATTTACAGTATTGAGAGATGGGGAGTTGCTTTGTTTGTGTGAGGAGTAGAAATAAGGTTAAAAATAAATAAGTCACATGCCTCATCAAGCTTTGACGCAATATAGCTTACTTTCTCTAAACATTTAAATAGTAAAATAGTATGATTTAAAACAGTCATTTCCAGACTCCAGGAAACCTCACTCTACAGTTACTATTTATTCAAGCGGTTAGAGACAGAACAGCTTCATCTATTAGAAATATTATGTCTGCTTTGAAAACATTAAATACTTTGTAAGCATTTAGCTCACCTCCAAATCAGCAAGCTGGAAAGCAGCTTTGGAACAATCTATCTGATCCAGAATTTATCTTCTAAATCCCTGTCTTGGGACATGTTTGATATACTGTATAACTACACGTACTGCTATGACAGTCCCAAGGATTTTTTTGTTTGGATTATTGCTTTTGCCATTACAGTATAAGTAGCAGAAACCATCATTGCTCTAGGCAGCTAGTTAAAATCTCAAAAATAAAGCAAAGCAAAGCAATGTGAAGAAAGATGGGGCAACCCCATTGTGAACGGGAACAATGGAGCCTTAACATAACCACCTTATCAATTATATTATCATTTAGAAAATGGTAAATATGAAAACACATTAATATATTGCTTTATTTCTCTGTTTTTTAATCATTCAAGAGATGCAGCAAAAAAAACTGAATTTGGTTTTCACCCATTACAATTCACTTCAAAATAACAAATTCAATTCTTGTTAACAGATACAGTTCCAAGAAAACAGTAAAATTACTGTTCTCTTTTGTAGCTTCAGCTTTCATGCATTGAGTCTACTGGTCCTGACAAATAATTACCCATTCCCTTCCCTCAAGATAATCTACAAAACTAAATAAATTAACACTGAAATTCATTTAGATTGAGCCCTAACTTACATTTCACAAGCTCCGTAAAGTCTCTGGCATATCTGCTGTTGCCTTGGTACGTAGGCAAGGAAACCAATCAAACATTCTGAGTTTTGCTTTGTGGCTGTTAAGCAACAGTGCAGGAGAGAAACTTCTCATTAAAAACAAACCTTTCCTAAATATTATATTCCTGCATGGTATCTTTCCTTCACAGAGACATTGCATTTGAAAAATGCAACTTATTTTCTTGCTGGATCATCTGACTGAAACTAATTACATTACTCAACACATGACTAATGTGGGCATCAGGCAAGGTGAATGACGTAAGGAACCAGCCATAGAAATGCTTTAAAAAGCAATGATAAAATTGAAGCTTGTAGAAATCCCCAAGTTGTCCACATCACCTAGTTAGCAAAAAGTAACCAAGAAATATTTGTGGGAACATCAGGAATGCTTGTTGCTCTTATTGATCCAGAGTACAATTTTCCATTTTGGCAAAAGTGGATGAATTTGTGTTCTCCTGTGACAGCATCTGATCCCAGGAAAATGTAACAAACATAAAACTTGCATAGGCATATTCAGAATATAATTACTTCACACCATAAATCATACTTCACATCATAAATGGAAAGAATTATATTGTATACACATTTTAATACCCTTTAATACCCAAGCTGTATATCCTTAAGATAGAAAAATGTGGGTTAGACAGCATCACCAGGCAGATGGATTCGTAGCTGGCTGACCGGCTGTACTCAGCATGTGGTCCTCAATGGAACTGCATCTACATGAAGGGAAGTGTGTAGTGGGGTGCCCCAGGGCTCTGTTCTAGGCCCAATGCTCTTCAACATCTTCATCAATGATTTGGATGAGGGGATAGATGGGGAACTAATCAAATTTACAGACAACACCAAGCTGGCAGGTAGCCCACACTCCAGAATATAGGCTTAAAATACAGGAGGATCTGGACAGACTTGAACACTGGGCGCTATCTAACAAAATGAAATTCAATGGTGAAAAAAGTAAGGTTCTACATTTAGGCAAGAAAAACCAAATGTACAGGTATAGTATAGGTGGTACCTTGCTCAATAGTAGTAACTGTGAGAGGAATCTCAGAGTCCTAGTGGACAATCACTTAGATATGAGCCAGCAGTGTGCTGCAGCTGCCAAAAAAGCCATCATAGTGTTAGGCTGCATTAACAGAGGGATAGAATCAAGATCACGTAAAGTATTAATACCACTTTACAATGTCTTGGTAAGGCCACACTTGGAATACTGCATCCAGTTTTGGTTAGCACGATGTAAAAAAGATGTTGAGACTCTAGAAAGAGTGCAGAGAAAGCAAAGATGATTAGGGGACTGGAGGCTAAAGCATATAAGGAACGGTTGCTGGAATTGGGTATGTCTAGTTTAATGAAGAGAAGGATGAGGGGGGTCATGACAGCAGTGTTCCATATCTCAGGGGCTACCACAAAGAAGAGGGAGTCAAGCTATTATATAAAGCGCCTGAAGGCAGGACAAGAAGCAATGGATGGAAACTAATCAAGGAGAGAAGGAACCTAGAACTAAGAAGAAACTTCCTGACAGTTAGAACAATTAACCAGTGGAACAACCTGCTCCAGAAGCGGCGAATGCTCCAACACTGGAAGTTTTTAAGAAGAGACTGGACAGCCATTTGTCTGAAATAGTATAGGGTTTCCTGCCTGAGCAGGGGGTTGGACTAGATGACCTCCAAGGTCCCTTCCATCATCATCATCATCATCATCATCATCATCATCATCATCATTATTATTATTATTATTATTATTATTATTATTATCTCAACTTCCAAAATTACCCAACCAACTAGTGTGCACTCAGTTTAAGGAAATCTGCATTTGGGTGTGAAAACCTTACAACTGTGCATTTTACTGTATGTTTTATACATTCTGTGAAAGTGTATCTGGTAGAAAGTTCATGATGCTTGTATTCAGACATCTTCATATGTTTAGAGCTTTTCAGGTTACTATAGGGTTATTTTCATGTAACATTTTGAAAACTTTGGTTGGTGATAACACCTTGACTAATCTTGTAAGCTAAGCAGAGTCAATCAGGGTAAGTATTTGCTTGGAGGACTATCTGGGAATTAAAAACATTAATAAAATAAATATAAAATAAAAATACTAATACAAAGCATTAGCAAGCCATTTCTGTACTTCTTGCGATAAAACTTCATGGATTCAGTGAATGAATAATATTTGGAAGCTGTGGGTTAAAGGTTTTATGCAATGAAGCCACCCAGGGGAGAGGATATCAAACCATTGTTTGATATCCCATGTTATCTCCCACAAATGAAGCTGAATATATGTGTCCCAGGATAATGTTGCAGGATCCAATCTGGGTCAGTCGTCGGCTAGAAAGAAGTTCCCTGAAGATGGGCTCCAGCATGAGTCTGAAAGCTCGGAAGACAAAACCTCTGGTGCTGGGGACCAACCCAGATTGGATCTTGTATATTATTTCCATTTGTCAGAACAGGGAGCCATTCCATTGACGTCTATAGGATGCAGTTTCCCAGAAATCTCTGGAAAACTTATCATTTTCATAGGAGACTATAGCAGAGGCCTAACTGAAAATAGGAAACTAGTGGTAAGGGGAGATAGAGGGGCTAATAATTGAAGGAGACAAAACAGAGGCAAGGTAAAAGAAGGTCTTAAAAATCCCCAAACCATTGGCAGAATCTACTCCAGGGAAACTCTGTTGGAACATCTGAGATGGGGAAAGTAGTTTAGTATTTTGTGTGTTTGTTAACTTCTTTGTTTTTCTTTTCCTCCTGCCCTAAAGTCATAAGGCGTAATAGATGGATATTAACTTGTGAACCACAACATTAACTAAACTCTGATCTTACTCAAATAAAAGTCCTATGCTTTACCTATTGGCCACATTTATCTGCTTCCCAAAGATGTTCTTTTTTGCCCTGTATGTAGACCAACACACATGTGTAAGCATATTTGAGTGTCCAAAATTTTCTCCCTTACTCTCCCCGCAGAGGCCCTTGCTTGCATTAAGCACCAGAAACAATAAATAACAATAAGGAAAACTATGAAAAGGTTTTCTTTAAAAAAAACTGTATTCCATAATATTCACATCATTTGTGTATTATCTATATTTATATATAGATAAGTATTGAATTAAAATTATGAACAGCTCTAAATATTTTATATATCATACATATATTTATAATTACATATCCACAGAAGATACCTTGCTGCACTACAGCCAGCTGTTAAAGCAGAAATAAATTTCATCATTGGCTCTCCAGATATGCATATATTCTGACTTTTTTTTTTTGCAAATTTATTTACAGTTTACTTAGATCATAATAAATGATTGTATGCTCTATTATATAAACATAATAAAGATTTGGGTTTGTTTAAAATACAAAGACTGCAAATGAATACATGAAAAAATACATACCAGGTGCATTATTTATAATTTATAAATGCAAAGTTAAGACCTCTTAAAATTATTGCACTTGAGTATTTTTTTTACATATTTCTCAGCAATCATTCATACATGTATATATGTACAATATATATATATTCTTACACCTACATCAACACACACATACACACATATCACTTTTCCCCAACTCCTTGGATATAGTGGATATTGTTGGCTTGAAGTTGTATGTTCCCAGTACAACTTGGGTATGCGTGGATCAAATTTACAACAGATTAATTATGAATGCTTTGAGTGCATGCACTGAGTATGCCCTCATAGTATAACTGAGCACAGTTTTTGGTCAGCAAGCATAACATTTAGAAGAAAATTATTGTGACGTTTTTGTTAGATTGGACTATTAAATTATAATGCAAAATTCTAAATTACAGTTAAAGGATTTCTCTGAACAAATGCAGTCACACATGTGACAACGTGAGAATTATATCATCATTTCAAATTTCTGCAGAATGATGGGAACTGCATGATATTTTTTTTTGCAGGCCTGCTGCATTTTTTCAAAGAAAATGTCATACATATTATTTATAGTTTTAGTGCTGGCTGAACAAACGACTCATACATGCTAATACTACCCAGAAAAAAGAAATGTTTCTGGTTATGTAGAATCATTGTTCCCCTGAGCTCCACACCGCATGTCGTGTGCCAAGTGATTTGTATATTTTACGTCCCTTGTTTAAAAATGATATTAGTGTACTTTTCTAGCAGTTCTATAGAGTACAAACTAGACAATAATTACAGTGAATATCGCTGCCCACTTAAAAGTTTTTAACACAGCAGTGCAATTTCCACCCAGCAAAATATTTGACATATTATGTATATTATAATGTTTTATAAAGGTACCACAGTCAAAAGCATTTCTGTGATCTGCTTTAAGTTGCTTTATCCCCAATAATGTAAATTTTAATATGCGCAGGAGTGAAATAAATGCCCAATATAGACATGTTATTTAGAATCTTATCACATTTTTTGCAGGATTGCTCTAATCTTGGTGTTCATTTCTAACAATGACCAAACAGTGGGTAAGTGTGTAAGCTAGACACCTTCTCCCAAACTGTGTATAAGATCTTAAGGGCAAATAATTCATGAATAGTTTCTCAGAAAACTTTTCTCATTTTGTAAAAGTAATGTAAAAATAGAAGCCAACAAATTTTCTCTATATTCTCACTGAGAGTATTAAATTATAAAGAGATCTGATCTAGAGAACATAAGGGGAAAAAAGAAGTTTCTTTACCAAGAAAATTGTGATGATATTTTAAAAGAGATTAAGATTTTCTTTTCTCACATCTACTAAAGCTTGGTGCAAGATTCTACAGCAGAGAATAATTTATTTTGTTTTGTTGTTCAATACCAACATTAATACTTGTAACTTACATTTTTTTTATATTACCTCTACAAATCATAACCAACATATAGCACGCATTACCTGAAAAGATCCAGGTAATTTAATAAATAAAGATGCAGAAGTATCTTGAGTTGTAGTTTGAACTGAGAAAATGACTTGGGACAACAAACATATTTTCATATAACAAAGTCCCAATTAAAAAGTTATACTTCACTAGATATGCAATACATTCATAAACTTATTCCTGGCAGTATTGTATCTTTGATATAGTTTCAAATTTCAATTCTGATGAAGCAGGCTGTGGGCTGGAGCAATGAACAAATATTAAAGATAATTGAAGCTAAAATCCAATAACCTTAGGACCTGATCCTGGGATCACAGCATTGATGGTTAAATTTAGAAAATATCCAAAGGGGGATAACAGGTGCTGAAGAGAATCAATATAATAAATTAAATTTAATTCACATTCCGAAAAACAAATATTTGTAAAGGACCTCTGCTGATTGCTTGATGGCAATCTGATATCTCGCCAGCCTTTTTTCATGATTGTTACAATATAGTCACATGTGCAATAACTGGGAATAGGGACTATACATGCTACATAATCTATAGCAGTGGTGGCAAACCTATGGCACGCGTGCCAGAGGTGGCACTCAGAGCCCTCTCTGTGGGCACATGTGCCATGCCCCAGAGATGGCAACCGTCCCTCTTCAACCAGTTGCCCACTAACTCGCCGAGGTCCCACATGGCCAGATCATCCCAGCATGGCTGGTTTCCCTCCCCCCGCCCCCCGTCCCATTCCTCCTGGCCTCGCATTCTCTCCTTTTCCTGGGCATGACCCACCACATCGCCTCCTCAGCTGTCGGCCGGCCATCCAGCTCAGAGGTGGCTTCTCTGAACTGCTGGTGGCAGGCTGCAGAGCCCCAGAGTGTGCCGGTCGAGGGGCAGGGAGGCTGTGGCTGCTGATGGACACTGTCGACCACCATGCGCTCGCTGGCCTGTGTGTGCGTGGGCCGATGGTGTCAGACAGCAGCTGCCCTGGCCCCTGCCTTGCCTTGCCCTGTGACAATGGCACCCCTGCCCTGCCTCGCCTCGCCCCACCCTGCAGGACGAGCCTCCTGCCCACTGCCTCACCTGCCAGAGACCCCCTGGATCTCCCCCAACCCTGCCCTTCCCCCACAGGCATCCCTCCCCACGAGCAACATAGAGGTGACCACGCCCACCTTGGCCACACCCACCCAGTCTGCCATGACCACCACAGCCATGCTCACCCAGTGGGCCACACCCACATGGCATCCGGCGATAAGTGGGTTTTGGGTTGCAGTTTGAGCACTCGGTCTCTAAAAGGTTCGCCATCACTGACCTATAGGATATGTAGAGGGCAGAAGGCTGAATCAACCAGATCAATCTATCATATGAGAAACCAACATCCCCAAGTCAGCTATTTTAAAACTTTTCCTTAGTGCTTTTCCAATACTCTACTAGTTAGTTATTATGCTGTGTTATCAAACACGCATATTGTGTATGTACATTATGTACTCATACACACGGTTATTCAGATGAACCAAATACATTAATATTTGGTGTATGCTTTCGTTAATACTTCCTTGGTTGTGCCACACACTAATAGCTGCACAATGATGAAAGTGAACAAGCTGAATACCATGAAGTTTAGGCAAGAGAAAGCTTTTTTTTTCCCCAAGAACCTACACCTTTCAAAATACCTGCTAGGGCACAAAACTAAAATCTACAAATTAGACATATGCTAAAAGCCCTAGTGTTTTTGTGCAATTATATTTCTAACCAGATTGTGCACATTTATAAATAACAACATTCCAAGAGTGGAAATAACCATTTCTCCCCCCATGCTACTAATCTCTTAATCTCATCATTCATCATCATGATCAATGTTAGCCAGGGAGCAATTGTTCAACAAGATCTAGAAGGGTATAGGTTTCCCCATCTCTATTGTATGTGCTCAGTTGTAACCCAGATTCTTTGGATCCTCTGCAATAAAATAATTAATTAAAATGACATTGAACTGGCACAGTACAACTTGTATAATATCATTCATAATTAATCAGCTAAAAATACAATTATATTCCAGAGAGGTAGCCATGGTAATCTTATGCACGAAAAGCAGAAAAGGAACAAAGAGTTATTTGTCCGGAATCCATTTTAGGATCCATATCTCAGTTTATAAAATCAACTATTTGTTTTCCAATACTTGCTTCCTTTGACTCTTTCAGCATTTGATAGTTATGTTTGGACCACTGTCACATGGCGCATGAAAGCTCATGCATCCAGCACATGTCTGCCTTTGAGCATAATGTTGGAATGGGGCATACAGTGGTGATGTGTATGTATTGTACGTAAGGTTTTGCTGAGAAGGCCTATATGATAGACCCATTTAAATGCTATATCAAGTATATGAACAAAGTGAAGCCTATTTCAGCAGGAAGACTCTCCTACTGAGATAGAGAGAAATAAGGAGAGGCAGAGAGAGGGAGGGAGGGAAAGGGAGAGGGAGAGAGAGCGAGAGAGATTTCCATTCAAGTCAATAGAGGTGTTCACACTGAGGTCAGTGATGCTAGGATTAAACCTCATGGCTTATTGATACATTGTCTAAAACTAGAGTAAAGTTAACATATTTGCAAATATAGTTCTGCAAAGAGGTATAGACATTGGGACTGTACATGCTTCAAAACTAATTTGGAAGAAGCTTTTTGGCCTCATAGGAGCACAGCTCCTCTCCACTAACCATTAAAATAACTTAACTTTTTTCCGGGTTTTGTGTGAGCCTGGGACAAAAAAGACATTGCCCCTTTTAGAAGCCAATTTCTTAAACTTAATGCAACCATTAAAACAGCCACAACTTGTTTCAAGCTCTCAAGGCAGGCTGAAAATTCTAATTAGTATCAGAGGTACTGTGCTCATGTAAGGTTTATAACACTTCTTTCAATTTCTTTCTCTCTACTTCACATTTTCAAAGTCTGTACAGCCTAACATATATGGAAATATATCACATAATGCAATTATGTGCAGAATTGGGGCCAAAATCAATACAGACTTCATTCACAGTATGTAAGGGCCAGGGTTTAACATATCAGCTTTCTTCTTCCACAGGCAACAGGTTACAAGACTAGACAATTTTTTTTAAAGGTTTTTGGGTAAATGGAGATTCAAAGGGAAAAGTAGAAAAAAGCCCACCAGGCACTAATGAGCAACAGAAAAGCTAAAAACATGTAAGTATTGTTGTGATTTCTGGAGATTATGACTATGTCTGGAAGGTCCTATTTTTGTAAACTAGCTGGAATTTGGAGGCATCCCTCTTTAATATTTATTTAAACAACGACTAGCTTTTCCTGACAGATTTCCACCACCACATTTGAAATTCAATCCGTTACTGTTAGTAGGGTTGAAAAGATGGGTCTTCAGGTACCTAATGTGATACTTACAACCAGAGGTAAATATTCTGTTTCCAGGTAGAAATGGACATTTTCCCTAAATTATAAAATCACTAAAGAAACACTGATATATTTTTCCCAATGTCTAATGGGCGCAATAAAGTAGTTGTTTCATGATGCTAATCAAATAACTTTTGGAGACTAGTATCAGGAAGTTAAATCTCCCATTTGCAGCAAGATAAATTCAAGTACTGTAAACTCAGTGATAGTTTCTGCCCCAGAGATTTTCTTCTGAAGTTCAAAGATCAAACAAAAACATTTACCATATCAGTGTGGAAATGTCCTATTGTAGTCTAGACTTCCCCAGGTGAACCCTGGCATTTAAGCCAGTCACAGTATTGTGTAATAGTAGGTAAAAGTACCAGTGAAACCTCATTACCACAAATACACAATTTAAAACCAAGCCTAGGTTAGCCTTCCCAGTCCAAATCATTTTGAAATTAAGGCCTCAGCAAAATAGCCTATTAAAAAGCCAGTCTTTTATATTTACAAGCTGACTTTCGCTTGGATAGTTGAAACTTGTATTCACATTGTATCACCGAGGAAAAGAAATTTGCATTCAGCCTTCCCAGTTTGTATTTGCAGGGTTTATCCTTTTAAAAGGCTAAAATTGTGGAATAAAAAGCCTTAAATGTGGATCAGTCAACAATCTTCACAGGGAAAGAGTCTGAGTCAGCACTACTGGACTGCGTTGGTATCCATCCATAAGCTTCTTCCCCTCGTATTACCTTTTCCCATTGTTTGAGATTTTCCCTGGAGAGAAAGGAAAAATTACTCACTTGTCAGATATTTTATTGATGTATCAATAAACAAGCAATATTTATAAAAGGGGATGTCATGATTTCATCTGATATCAGCTCCTCCTTCAAAGAGGCAGATGTGACAGTTAAGCTCTCATATCTGGGCTTTCAGTTTGGGGAGAATGGCAACTGAACGTTTAGTATCAAGTTGAAAAAGTGTGCCTTTCTTGCCCTGGATGTAGTAATCTCATTACCACTGCCACAAAATGTCATCAGCACTGCTTTGTGAATACTAACCTAGTAATGTTGCATACATTTACATTTCTTTGCGTTGCATTTCCCTTTCATCTTGTCTATGACCCCTAAACAGAACTATGGTGGATTAATGCATTCACTGCCATTTTTGATTTAGAAATTTAAAACAGCAAGAAGAGCAATCAGGATTCCAGAGGGACAGATGCTAGCCGAAACAAAATGATTATTGATGATTGATTGTTTGCTTGCAGACATTTTGTTACAGAATAACAGAGTTGGAAGGGACCTTGGAGGTCTTCTAGTTCAACTCCCTGATCAAGCAGGAAATGCTATGCGATTTCAGACAAATGGTTGTCCAATCTCTTCTTAAAAACCTACAACTTCTGGAGGTATGTTGATTGATTGATTGACTGACTGACTGATTGATTGATTGATTATTCAAGCTGTCAGGAAATTTAGCCTTAATTCTAAATTGGTTCTCTTGACTAGATAATGTGTTCAGTACCCAGAAACATGTACGAGCAAACATCCAAGCTTAGAGAGCACCACATATTCCATAGTTCAACACTGAGCTACATAGATTCTCTTCTATTGGTAAAATTAAAGAAATTATGAGGCAAATAGCAAATAGCCCTTCCAACTCTATTAGTCTGTTGCACATAATATACAGTACTTCCCTCTTCTCCGTTTTTTACAGTTCTGAAGAGTCTTTAAGTAGAAATAATCATTTAATACTCCCTCCTTATGTAGAAGTAAGATTATTTAAGGGTTTTCAATTGACCATTCAAGTCAAATTCATATTTACCTGCATGCTCGAAGTAGTGGTGCTGTGGGAGGGAGGATTTGTGCAAGTGTACCATAGCAGGGCAATGCTACAGCATTATAGAACCCAATCTTGAAAAAAAATAAAAACACTATTAATCAAATATTATTCAACTCAAAATTTGCAACAGTTTGTTTGCTAACAGACTATCATACATTCTCACTATATTTTACAAATGTATGTTAAATCTCTTTTTCCTTTCTGTTACAAAATGGAAAGAAGCTAATAAGCTATCAATGTTCTTCTTTCATAGCTCTGGATTAGTGGAATGAATATTATTCACTGCCAAATCAATCATGATTTTACAAGGGACCATATAAGAATACCAGATTATGCATAGGAGTTGTTCATAATTAATAAATATAGGCTTTCCTTCACTGTTTTTAAGGATAAGTAATTTGGATCCTTTAATTGTTTAATAGTATTATCAAATTAGCACATTAATGTAAAAAAGTCACCTTATGGGAAGATAGGTGGGATAAAAATTAATACATACAATGGATGTTTAGTCATTGTTTATTACATTGGAGGTCTTCTAGTCCAACCCCTTGTTCAAGCAGGAAACCCTATACCATTTCAGACAAATAATGGATATGTATATTATGCTCAAATTAAAATCTATTCAAAAGATATTTTAGACTTACCTGACCCTGAGGAACCTCATCTTTTTTATCTCTGTCCATCATAGGTATAGGTTGAATACCTAACTTCTTCATATCATCACCCTGAAAGAAAAATAAGTGCTTGAGAATATTCTTCATTTATTTCTTAATTATTTAACTCCCAATAATAAAAATTAAAGACATTAAATATATAACAGAGAAAAAAGGTAAAATTCTGAAGACAAACATAAAATTCTTATGTAGACACTCTTGGTGTCTATAAACTGCATTATTATTATTGTTGTTGTTGTTGTCGTTATTATTATTATTATAATTGTTCCAGCTTTTCAAGTGCAAGCTGCCCAGAGTTGCTTGGGGCCAGGTGACCTTTAAATTACAAACAAACGAATAAACAAATAACATCAATAGTTCCAATAGTTCAATCAATCATTTCCAAATCTTAATTTTCTGTTGAAGGGTCTGCTGATAGATATGAAAATGAATCCATCATGAAATGCACATACCTCAGCCCAAAATTCTGCGTATATATCATTAGCTGTCAGTCTGGTAATATGCCATAATTTTGTCACAGAACATAAGTCACAAGCTGTCATCATCAAGCCAATCACGCGATCCCTAGAATATAATAACTTGTGTAGCTGAAGCAATTATTTGCCTTTTCAAATATATCCTATAGTAATAATTGATACTGAAAATTTTTGATTCAAAGGTAAAACAGATCAGTTCAGATAAAAACACATAAAAAATAAACAATAGCATACTCAGTGCTAAGGATAATTAATACTATTAAAACCATTCAAGAACCTAACGGATGTCTTTTCACAACAAGATTAATAAATAGCATCAAATAAAGTATTCCAGAGCAATCAAAGAGTCTAGAAAAAGGAAATCTCAACAAACAGAATGTAATTTATACTTACTATTGCCATCCCTGTTTTTAATTATTAAACGTATTGTCCTAAAAATCAACTCTATACATACCTTAACAAATAAATGCACTCAACCTGTTTGGCTATCAAGTGAAGCATTTCAAAATAAAATGGTGCAATATAAAAGGTGAACAGATCAATTCCAGAATGCTTCTGAGGTTCAATTTTATATAAAATTTAACTTTAAATCTTACATACATTGCAGCACTGCAAATAATTTTCCCTTCCCAACTTCTTTTTCCTATGACTAAGCCTCAGACTTTCAGATAACTTGAAAATGCTTTAGTCCAGAGTGTTATTGAATTTCAGCAATAACTAAGGTAGCCAGGTCTTGGATGCGCAGGTTTTCTCTCTGCTTCATGCTCACATCCAACTCCATCTAATCAGGTTTTATTTTCCACAGTACAGATGTAATGTGAGCAAAACCAAAATAGTTATGTTAAGGCCCTCTAAACATACAAGTTGGAACTACCTGAGATTGGAAAGACCAGTGATTAAACTAATGGCTTTGTCAGAAAGAAGTTTAGATTCTTTATCACTAAGATTGTGAACAGATAACAAGAGCACCTAGACTTATATACCACTTCACAGTGCTTTACAGCCCTCTCTAAGCGGTTTACAGAGTCAGCATATTGCTCCCAGCAATCTGGGTCCTCAGTTTACTGACCTCATAAGGATGGAAGGCTGAGTTAACTTTGAGCCGGTCAAGATCAAACTTCAGGTAGTGGAATGCGGAGTTAGCCTACTATACTGCATTCT